TTCGTAGGTCACCGCTGAGCCACGCCAGCCAGGCGAGAGTTGTTTTATTTTAAAAGCAACGCGGTCATTGCACTTGTGCAGATTTTATCGAATTAGAGGGCAGTAAGGAAACTTTCCGTTTTCAAAGCTGTTAGAGGGTCGGAGAGATGTTATCCCGTCCCTGGGGCATGGCCAGAGGGGCTGCGCTTACATTACTGGGAACTCCCGGCCTCTGGGGGCTGTGGGGCTTCCACGGATGCAGTCTGTCCAGAGCCTGCCTGTCCTCGGGAGGCAGGGCGGTCTCCCCGCTCTGGGCGAAGGGGCTCCCCAGAGGTGTGTGGCGGCTGAGCTTCGGCCCTCCTGCAGGGGGGACTCCGTGGAAAGTGGGGGGCTGCGGGGCCGTGCGGCCGTGGGGAAGCAGACCAGCGTCTGCCCTGAAGAGCGCCTTGCTTTCGGAGCCTAATGACAGGGCGATGCTCTTTGCAAAGCCTTTCTGATGGTGCCGTGTTTAATGGTGTTTTCGTTTCCGCTTTTCCTTAGGATGACCATAAACTGAGCCTGGACGAGCTTCACCGCAAATACGGAACAGACTTAAGCCGCGTATGTTCTCGTTTAAAACTTTTTGTGCAAAAATCTTAATTTCCTGTCACGTTTCTCCCCAGGTCACAGGCCTGGCCTTGGGGACTCTTGGGGGAACATGCCAGCCACCGTCTGAGTATCTACTTCGTGACATGCACAGAGCTTGGTTTTCTTCATATGCTTTTTAAAAAGTCTTCTTCCCCCTGAAACTTTGAAAGTGGACATTATCATTTTTCCCACTTTACAGTGGGTGAGACCCAATAAAAGGGAGCGCCAGGATTTGAAACGGAATCGCTCCAAAGGCGTGTCACTCCCGGCCTTTTGACTACAGATCTTCCCTTTACTCTTCTACATTTGTTAACTTGAGTCGACTCTTCCAACAATTCCGATTTTTGCACTTTACCCACTAGCTCACTGCAGTATGCCAGAACCTTGGTCATTTATTTGAAACCTTTTTTAAAAAAACACAATTCAGAGAAAGCTTTAAATAAAGTAGGTGTTCGACTACTAGAAACTCTGGGAAATAACTTGCATCCCAGCTATTACGTAGCCACTGTCTCAATAAATTACCCAGATGTTCTCAGCAGCGTGCTGGCCCCGGTGCCCTGGCCTTGGTCCTGAGGCTCAACTGTCCGTCCCCGTCGGGCAAGCCCTGAGCACATCACCTGGGTCATAAAACTGAACTTTATTAGTTTCCTATGAAATCTGTTCTCTGTGGCCCTAAGTCATTTTAGTCAAACACTGTGGATCTGTTTCTTTTCTTGTAAAACAGGATTAATAACACAAAACACAGTTATCGTGGGAACCATACGAGTTCATGCGTTCGGAGCACCAGGTGCAGGATGTGGCATGCACCGCGCTCAGAGGTCGGCTGGTGGGCTCTGTGCTGCCCCTATCATTACACCATGAACTCAAGGCCAAGGAGGGAGGGCCCTAAATAAAAAGGAGAACTTTCCATTCCCCTCACTGTTTGACTTTCCTTTCCCCACACTCCTGGGTTGACTCAGATAGAAGTAACAAGAACCCAAACTGCGCTTTCGCATAAACTTTGGGCAATGTGATGTCTTTTTCTCTGGCCTGGTATTTTGATAGTGAGGAAGTCACCGCGTTCTCCCCTGGAGTCGGAGCCTTGTGACTATCTGCTGTCGGGGAGTCTTGGCTTTAAGGCCCATTTTAGGGAATAGAGTGGACTCCTCGTTGAATCCTTCCCAGCTCATAGTGGGAAGGGTGGGAGTGTAGCTAAAACATGCCTGTGTGTGGGCCCTTCCGCCAGACGATGGTTTTAATATCATCCAGAGAATAGAGTTCTATACATAAGACAGGGCTGTTGACCTGATAATCAGTGGGATTCCTACAGATTTTTTTTTTCTCCTTCGATGTTTATAGAAGGGTTTTTATTCCTCCCTGACAAATTCGATATACAGAAAATTCAAAGCTCTTAATTTGCAAAACTGAATCAGTTCCTTAAATATATTTTTGGTGAAAAAAAAAATGAAAAAAAAATGCAGGTTAGCATGAATCCCTTATCTACAACTTAGAAGAAAGCATACTGCAGTTGGATTTGTCCACGGGTCAGTTTTAAAAACAATTTCCGTCTGGATGTCGTGGGTTCCTCGGGGATCCTCCCCAGAACTTGCCGGGGTTTGCCTTGGCGTGGGGAACGTTTCCTTCCAGATCCTTCATTGCAGCTTTCCAGCTCCCGGGTGGGTGCAGTGCCTCATCAGGGGCTGGAGCCGTGTGTCTCACTTCTGTTCCTCTACTTCTCAGGGCTTAAGCACCGCTCGAGCTGCCGAGATCCTGGCCCGAGACGGTCCCAACGCCCTCACTCCCCCTCCCACCACCCCCGAGTGGGTCAAGTTCTGCCGGCAGCTGTTCGGGGGGTTCTCCATGCTGCTGTGGATTGGAGCCATTCTCTGTTTCTTGGCTTATGGCATCCAAGCTGCCACGGAAGAGGAGCCTCAGAATGACAATGTGAGTCCCGCACTCCCCCTGTGCACGGGGTGCACATAAGGCAGCCTCTAGGTCAGGGGTGGGCAACCTTTCTGTGAGTGCATGCCAAAACCAGCAGAATCTCTGACTCAAAATTCTTCTGCGTGCCAACCCTAATTTTTTGAGAACATGTTATGCCTACTTGGTATCTCTTAATCGTTTGACTGCTAAGGAGTGCTATCGCGCTCTTCTTATTTAAAACAAATTTATGTAAACAATTGGTATTTTTTAATTTTTGTTGTTGTAAAGCAATATAAGTGAGTTTATTGTATAAAAAGTGTTTTACATTTTTTCCCATACACACGCAATTAGTGCCACAGTTTTGGCATATGTCCGAAAAAATACGTTACCAGCCAAATGGTTAAATTGATAAATAAACATATATAGTAACATACACATATTACCTAGAAATGTAACAGTATAAACCACACTGAATAGTTAAGAGTGGAAGAAATACTTCAAGTAGTCAACAAGAAAAGAGGATTTGGCTGACCCTAACTTATTCTCTTTACCCCTTTTGGGAAATATAGGATATCCCCCCAAAAATATACATACTTTGAATGATTACAAAGTTAGTATTTATTAACATACAATTCATTTTCAAAATTTAAAAGAATCTACAGAAATGAGTCATTTTTTTTGTCAGTGCCTGTTTTAAAATTGATGACCGTTCTGATCCAGGCACTACTGATAGCGTGAAGCAATGGAATCGCAAACATCAAGAATCATTTCGCTGCAGTGACAGGCGGCCTGGGCGGGCCCCAGCCTGGGTCTGGCTGCCATTCACTAGATGCCAGACCACACTTTGAACCTTGATTGGCACATTACATGTATCCTGAAAGGTTGTCAGCTATTTTTCTAAAGTCACAAGTTCCAAGAATATCCTTAGTTCGATAAAGCAGGAGAAACTGTATCAGAATATCATTTCCAAAAGTCTCTCCAGTTAGTGACCCAGTGTCTGTGTGACTCCATTTGGGACTCCCCTGGACGTGGTCTTTAGAAATGTAAATGTGAAGGCCCGCGTTCTCGGTTTCTGAAGCCTCGATCCCTGTTAAAAATCGGGGTTTTAATCCATCAAAAATTGGCTGAACGTTCCCGGTCCTTGACCCGGAGCCGCGCGGCGCTAACATGCTTGTCCCTTCCCAGCTGTACCTGGGTGTGGTGCTGTCTGCTGTCGTCATCATCACTGGCTGTTTCTCCTACTACCAAGAAGCTAAGAGCTCAAAGATCATGGAATCCTTCAAAAACATGGTTCCGCAGGTACCGGCTGCTTCCTCCTGTCCCTTGGTGGGGTGACTCAGCCCAGGAATGTGAGCTTGTGTGAAGGTCAGGTTTCCCTAAGAATTCAGTGAATACGGGAGAGGGGGTGCTTCACCTCCCACCCCAGACGGGCCTGTCTTCCCTCTGAGTGGACGGAGGGGGAGCAGGTACCACGGGAAGGAGAGGACCAGCTCTTAGCTGTTGAGCGAGCTTTTGTCACTTGGACAAATAAAAAGGTGATGTCTTTGTTAGTGCGAATAAAAATGATATCTGTCATGCATTAGGATGATTAGAATTACAGATGATTGGGTAGCTTGAATTTTTTTTTTTTTGACACGACCTTCCTGTTGGTGTCATGTCTGATTTAACGGTGTGAACTGTTCCCCTCCCAAAGCAAGCCCTGGTGATCCGCAACGGTGAGAAGATGAGCATCAACGCGGAGGAGGTGGTGGTTGGGGACCTGGTCGAAGTGAAAGGCGGGGATCGGATCCCTGCTGACCTCAGGATCATTTCTGCCAACGGCTGCAAGGTAGGCTGGCACAGGCCCTGCTGCGTGGGCATCGGGCGCGGGACAGCCCACGGCCGGCCTGCGCCCTCACGGCACTGACTCCCGTCCTCGCCGACAGGTGGATAACTCCTCGCTGACCGGGGAGTCGGAGCCCCAGACCAGGTCTCCCGACTTCACACACGAAAACCCCCTGGAGACGAGGAACATTGCCTTCTTTTCCACCAACTGCGTTGAAGGTAGACCACGGGAGGCACCGTTGGCACGGGGCGGCGCTTGTTTTAGTCGTTAGCAACAAAAACAAAACAAAAAAATATATATCCCGGACACGGTTTTCTGTTTTCATGTTATTGGCTCCGTTTCTGGCCACTTCGGTCAAGCGCAGCCGAAGGGGCTCGCCCGCTGGTAGGGAGCCCGCACCCTCCTCCCCTTCGCACCCCTCCTGCTCGGCGTTCGGAGCCGCTCGCTGCCCAGGGACGGAGATCCCTTTGCCAAAGTCTCTGTGGTTTCAAACAGCGTACAGCTCCAAAGAGCCGGCCCTTAAAGATGTGTTTCTTCTTTTAAATATTTTTAAATGATTTCAGAGAGGAAAGGAAAGAGAGAGAGGGGGGGGGAGGGAGGAAGGAACCTGGGATTGAGCCTGCAACCCGGGCATGTGCCCTGACCAGGAATCGAACCCTGACCTCCTGATTCATAGGTTGATGCTCAACCACTGAGCCACGCCGGCTGGGCAAAGTGTGTGTTTCTGTCTTCAACCATGCCAGGTCCCTGCAAATGCTGTGGCTTCTCTGATAACCTCTGTGCAATCCCTTCCCCCCTCCAGGCACTGCCCGCGGCATCGTCGTGTACACCGGGGACCGCACCGTCATGGGGAGGATCGCCACGCTGGCCTCTGGGCTGGAAGGCGGCCAGACGCCCATCGCTGCGGAAATCGAACATTTCATCCACCTCATCACGGGGGTGGCCGTGTTCCTGGGGGGCACCTTCTTCTTCATCTCC